TCCCAAAATGTGAACTTGCTGCTGGTTCCCAGTCTGTGCAGTCTGCTCTGACAGACCACACGTTACCGGTAGGGACAAGAAACAGCCAAAAAAACACAGCAGAAGGAGACAACTAGGCATCTTCCAGCTAGCAGCTTCCCTATCTTTTCTTAAAGCACAAAAGGAATTAGAGACCAGTAATTTCTAGAAACCGTAACTCAAAGGAAGCAAAATTCTTTAAAAATCCATAAAATTATCATTTTGCCTACACATTTTAAGAATTACCTACTTCTGTAGGTAAGTTTATGGAAACCCACTATTAAATAGTTTCCATAGCTATATTTTTAATAAAATGGAAGAGCAAATTGCTGCTGCACTAAACTAAAATATATTCAGTATTCTTGACTTGGTTGTCCAATTCAGTTGCAAAAGATGTTTTTAAAACAGAAACACTTAATACTCAGATGCTTAAGGTAGTTAAGCAATCTGAGTGACTATCTCACCTAGAAAGAACATTCATAGGTACACTTTTTTTTTTTTCCTTGAAAGTCTGCAAGTGATTCAGAACAATGAGTGAGAAATAAATTTGATTTTACTTTTCAGGTATTACTTATCCCTATAAATAAGTTACGTTGCGTGCTGAGACAGCTAAAAGCTTCTCGTAGTTTACATCATTTGAATGTGATCCATTCTCTGTGGAGAAACTATCTTTTGCTCTCAGCATAGCTGCATTTGAAATAGAATTACAGTCCCTAGCGACAGCAGAAATGGAAAAGTATTAAATAAATTATTTTATTTATGAAAAATGAAAATTAGGTCAGTGGCACTTGGAGCATGCTCAGAGATTTATCGCTGCTGCATGCAAAAGCAAGTGTAATACCACATACCCGTATGTAACCTTTTCTGACTTGGATACAGGAAAGGAGCCCACCTTTTAAAACCTCTTAGCCTTCCTACGTCAATTTCCCCAAAACCCCTGATTTTCTGCATATTTTAAATAGTACATTTTGTTTCTATGAAAGTACAACTAAAATGAACAGACTAAGTATTCTGAGCTCAAAAGGGTTTTTATGTTTGTTTGTTTTACCAACAGTATCAGGCTTTGTAGCCTGTATGTGAGCGTAGCCAGACTCCAACAAGATCCTGTAGAGCCCTTTTTTCAAGAAGGGAAACATCCGCCTAACATCTTCATCCTGGAAGCCGAAGAGCCCTGGAAGATAGCGGCCCAGCAGAATGGAGAGCAGGTGAACGAATCCCATGTTTGTAACTGAGGCTAGATTTAAATGGAGACCTTTCATATGGCTAAAAATAAGAACAGAAAAAGCCCCCCACAAATTAACAAAAATAAAATGTGATTCCAAGTTGTTATATTTAAGATGTTATTAACAAAAATGGACATACTTAAATTCTGGCCTGCTAATTACATCATGACCTTAGCTGTACTTTGTAGTCTGGCTTTTCACACAAAAATGACGAGTCAAAGGGGCAACTGTCAATAATCAGCACACACTCCTGGACACAAAGCCCCAGGTCCACCTTTTGTTACAAGTACTTATCTCCCACTCTGGACCCCAGTGGGGCCATTACAAAACTACTGCACAACTGTTTGAAAGGACAGGTATATAGTATGAGGTCCGTAACTCTGGATCACGGCTTAACACTGTAGAGAGCACTGGAGAGAGAAACTATACAGTGCTCACAGGAGGGCTTGGACAGGAACTCTCAAGTGCAGAAGAAATAACTATTTAAATAAAGAATAAACCAGCTTTGCATGCCAATCATGCAGCACTGTACCAAAGGGGTACTCACTTGGGAGCTATCTGGGCCAGATTGGTGCAGATGAGCCAGCCCCAGTCACCACCTTGTGCGTAGAACTCGTTGAATCCTAGTCTGAGCATCAATTCATAAAAAATAGAAGCGGCACTTACAGAATTAAAGTCTGCATTAAAACAAACAAACAACAACAAAAAAAAAACAGGACACTGTTACATTAATTCCAGCTATACTTCTGACTGGGCAGCATTTATTCTCCCCATAAATGCAACATTCAAGTTCCTAAAGAGCTACAGGTCCATTTTTCCTTGCCTGTCTGCCAGACTACATGGAAACCCTTGTCACTTCATCCAGGGACAGTCAAGAGAGCAAGCAGAAACTACGAAGAGAAAATTGAGCCTTCTTTGCAGACCGGTGTTCTCTTAACCCCACCAGCTGCTCACATGCTTGCCCGACTCCCTGTAAGCAGTAGTTACACTCCAACAGAGCCCTCTCAGAGGCGCTGAGTACAGCCCAGGCAGTGTTTCCATCTTGTCTACTGTGAGCAGTCTCATTTTAATGATAATTGGAAACTTTTAAGTTTCCACTAGTAATGCACTTCTCCACTTCACTGAATGCTGACAACATAAATCACAGCCAGGGAAGCAGAGAAAAGCAAAACCTTGCTTTTCAACCTTGCCCACGTCATTTACCTGCACACATAATCAAATACTAAACTCAGCATCACTTTAAATACTGCCTCGCTCCAATTTGTTGCGGCTTGTGTTTGTGTAATTCTGAGCCAAAGCTGAACAAGCAGCTATTTGGCTGCAATCTACCATGTAGATACACGAATGGGTTTGTTTAAACTGTTGCTTCTCCCCTACCTGTATAATGCTGTTGAATATAGATTCAAAACACTCAAAAGGAACAGGAGCAAATTAAGTTTACTCTTCACACAATTCATTGACTGAATTACAATTTGTGAGTTGTCACTTCATAACTTTTTATAGTCCTTTGTATATTATCTATACATTGCTCCTGAAAACAATCAGTGGTGTCAACTGAAGTCACACTCCCTCTTCCCACATGACACACAAGATCTTTTTTTCTACACTGGAAGAACGAGAAGAGCCAGGAGTTACTGTTCTGCTAACAGGGGCTGTCTCACTGTGAGACTAGGCTGGTGTCAGTTCAGTTTCTTCTCATACCTTTTTTGTGGGGTGCTTCTGAGAAACCATAACCAGGGATAGATGGGCAAATGACTTCAAAAACGTGTTCATCACTGAGGCCATGGCTGGCAGGATCCGTCAGGAGAGGGATGATTTTGTAAAACTCGTAAAATGAGCCAGGCCAACCATGAACCATTAATAAAGGCTTTGCAGACCGGCCTTCAGGCAAACGAGGAGGCTTTACGTGAACAAAATGGATATCAATGCCTGTAAAAATAAAATAATTAATTAACATGCCCGAATTTACCATGACACTGAAACTAATCACAGAACTGATTTTGAATAAATCTTTTCTGGTATCTTTTTTTGGTGAGCACGCATACACACTGCGCTTCTCTGGATCCATTTATCCAAGGACCTTAAAGTACTTTCTAACAGGCAATTAAGCAGCACGGCAGCCAAATGAGGTCGACATATTTCTGTTTCAAAATAAATTGGCAAATTAAGACATAGAAGTGAAGCAATCTACTAACGGTAACACAGTGACTCAGACAGATGAAAGGCAGAAGAGCCAATTACATCATTTAGTCCAAGCGCCCTTAAATTTTACCCATATGTCCCTATATGGCACTAGGTGGGCTTCAGCCAACACTACAGATGTTTCTTCCTGAAAGGCATACAATTGCAACTGGAAGGCATGGAGAGACAGGGAAACCATCGTAATTAGCAGCTGTTTGTGTGGGGGTGTTAATCACTTTCCTTGTTTTGTGCATGCCTTACTTTCCATTTGAACATGTCCGGCTTCTGTCTCCAGCCACTGATCCTAATGTTACAGCAAAAGGAATTTAAAAAGCCTTCAGTGAATGTCCTCTGTGGAGGCCTCCGGTAATCAAGTCACACATCTTAACTGCTGATAAACCAATCATGCCGAAGCAAGGATTTGAAAACATGCCTTGCTAAAAGAGCTAAAGTGTTCAATTTTGTAGTTCTTCTCTACTTTTTATCCAAAGCTTTCAGTATCTCTAAGTAAACCAAAACAGGAAACGATGCTCTAGTACCAGTCTCCTCATTGTTAAATAAAAAGGTAAAAATTGCAGTCCTATTTCCTTTGTGATCCTTACAGTACGCAAGCAGTAGGCTTCACACAGCGAATTGCTTTTCCTCAAACCCATTCAGGGCTTTGCTTTCCAGGAGACAATAATTTGCTTTTAGTAGAGCCTAAGTGCCTCACTTCCTGAGGTATTTAAGCACATTTTGCTGCCATCAACTCCAGCTCACCAGCAATCCTACCCTGTTTCACTGACTGAGATTTCCCCATCTGTGACAGTTCTGTGGATTTCTGTATTCTCTGAAAAACTTTCAAGTGATGACAGAAGCTAGGAATCTGATATATGGCATGTTTGATCTTGTCGTTTCATGGCTCATCTCCGTAATCATTCCTAATGTTGAAATTTCTCTTCCTATTGCTATACATAGTGCATTGTCCTTAGGTTCCCTTCCCCTTTCTTATCGCAGATGATACATCTTTTTTTTTTTTCTCCTAAGGGAAGACTTTTTGCTTTTTATCTTTTTCAGCACTAACCATGTTTTATACACTTAAATAAAATCTTTTATGTTCTAACCACTATGTAACAACCATTTATTGTTCAAATCCGTTCTAAGTATTATGGTGAATTGCCCCATTTGAAATAGTGTACAGTTATGGGTGCAAGTAAAAACATAATAGCATAATCTCAAGCCTGAATTTTGCCATCATGTGAGCCAATTGCCTGCTCTGCTCTAAATCTGTAACTGTACCCCCAGCTGACCCAAGCACAACCCTAATCCGAGCATTTAAAACAACCAGTTTGACCAGGCTCCAGCACCAGTGGACCTCAGCTGAATGGCCTCTTTCAAAAGGTGTCTGTGCTCTGCAGGAACAGACAAACCATTCACTCACACCTGGCAGCGCATCAACCCCAAGGGAAAGGCATTCTGCATTTCTAGACCTCTGAATGCTTGAAATGGTGCAGCAGAGCGCATCTGCCCTGCCAAGCAGGGATGACAACCTGAGCAGCCAGCGCGCCCGGCTGAGGAGGGCTGCCAGACTGCTGGCATCACCCTGACACAGCAATAGCTGGGGAACTACATGGAGCAAGAGGAGGCATCTGTGGGCATTTCTGCGTGACTGCACGCAAGTCAGGGAACACGTGTACATCTTAAGATCCAGTTCTGTTTCCAAATGCCTGTGCTTGGCTCCTGCTAACACCAGCTGACGACCCATCCCTGCACAAGGGAATTCCATTTGTCATTCCTTATCCTAAGGGCTTCAGTTACGATGAAGGAGTTTCTCGCTGCTTCAGCAGCAGTGCCAATGATCCCCGCCATGGCAGCCAGGGAGGGAAGGCCCCGGCCACACAACCGTAACATTCTTAGCACCAAGATCCCTTGTAGGCAAGATTATCTATTACTGTTTGTTTATCTTTTAAGAAGAAAAAAAGCCACACACCTTGAATCTTAGTTTTGAATTGTGGGTACTTGTTGAGGATTTCAACTTGTTTCTTCCAATTGAACTGGTTTTTCCAGTAGGAGACAACCTTCCTGAGATACACTGAGTTAGTCCCATAATGGAAGCAACTGTCCTCCAGTGGCTCAGTGAATCGAGCCTGGTCAAGTCTCCTAAATAAGTCCTACAGGGAAGAAGAAAGAAGAGACATTACAAGCACTTGCGTCTGCCATCTTGGGCTCTACTGTGCACGGCTTCTAGTTATTCCCAAGTGAAACGAGAACAATGAAAATAACATCTCTAATGACACCTGTGTATTTTGCTGATGCTCCATCAGCTGTTCCAATTATTTTTCTCCTCCAGATGGCCTCCTTCCTCTTCCATTTACAGCTGTTCTTAACACTCTCTCCCTCTCTGTTTTGCAGGGCTGGCTAACCTGTTTACTGGGCTGATAACCACAGAGGACAATACGCTCTTCTGACAGCACTGTGGCTTCCCAGCCTACGTCTCCTTGCCTCTCCACGGTACTTTGCTCCCCAGGTTACCTCACAATCAATGCACAGATCTGGCCCAAAGCTTTTGCTCTCCTTCCCAAACCAAAGGGCTGGGTGTCTTCACTGGGAAACACTCTGAGGGATTTCACACAGCCACAAAGCTGGTGAAACTAGACTGGAGTGAGAGTTTCCCAGTCCAGAGTAACTATTAAAGTGTGCTTCCTACTGCACTTCAGGGGACACTGATGATACTGCAAAAATCAGTCTGAAAATCACTCGGCGGGGAAGGACAGCCAAGAGCCCCTTCCTACTGCGAACAGAACCACAGAACAGTTGAGGGTGGAAGGCAGGTCTAGGAATCTAATCCTGCTCAAACCTCTGTGGGGCTTAAGCCTGAACAGCATTTTCTAATACAGCGACAGAGGTAGCTGTCATTCTGACAAAGATGAGTTAGGTGTTTGCACTGGCTCACGCCTCACACTGAACAGGCAGTCTCAGTCTAGGCAAGACATTAGTATGCAAGCTCACTGGTTTTGGCATTTAACACCTGTAGAGAAAGCATAGATTTTTAAATGGAGTTTTTAAGATGTCTTTACATGCATGCTTTTTGTCCATGCTCAACACTTTAAAAAAAAACGTTTTAGTAATGTACACTAGCATAACTTTAACTCCTAGTTTATGTAAGAATATATTTAGAAACAGAGTTTTCTACCAATGGATTATGTTGCGATGGCTGTCATAATACAGAATTACGTTTCAGAAACATCTGTAAATTAGAAATTATCTAGCTTTGTGTCTGCAGTGTAAGGGAAAAACATACTGGAGATCAACGTCCATTGATATTACTAAGGAAGACAAACAAAATGTTAAAAACACCAGGCCTCACTGAGAAAATAGGAATCCATTATAAATGAATAATATGAGCAATCCCATGAGTACTGTTCGAACCACTACTACACACAGATCTATGAAATTGCACAATAGCCTACTTAAACACAATCAAAATCTTGCTATCTAACAATTCTGCAACGTATGTGTTTACTGTAATTACCACTGTGGTATTAGTGTTGACCAAAGTACATCATTAATTACAAAGAATCAGCATCCAACACAGCTGCAAACAAACCAGTCAAGAAAAGAGATCTTCATAATTGCTTTTGAAAGAAAAAAGAAAAAAAGACATTGTTCTTATTCTGGTCTACACAATCAAACTGAGGAAGGTGCACAAACAGGAACGCAGAGTTGAGTAATCTGTAATATGATTTCTATGTTTATTAGGCTTTGCAGAGGAGGTTTATTTACTAGCAATCTTGCAACAGCCAGCTGAGAACAAAATTGCATAGCAGGATGTGAAATCTGCCTATCCATACCCATCTTCTGAAGTAGTGAAAAATTCCTTCCCCCAACTCCTGGACATCATTGCTCATTCTCATAAATGTAACTATTGCTTCAATTAAAAAATTACTTCCAAACAAGTTCTGCATTTATTTAGCCATTTCTTACTGCTCTCCCCCCAGTAGAGAGATTTGCTTACACTCAGCTCTTCTTCTGTAGTTTCCACCTTAAATGGCCAAACAGTTGCATCTTCTTCCGTGTCAGGCTTTTGTCCCTTGCCCCACCATCCCTCTTTGAAGGGCAATGTCTCTTCTTTCTTCTTGGAAACTAAGAAGTAGATGAGGACTGTCCCCAGAACCAGGAATACTTCAAGCAGCATAATGCCTGCAGAGAAGAACAGAATGCTGATAAGCCCCATCAGATAGTTCAGGGACACGCGACGCACCTTGTAAAGACTGTAGAGGTTTACTCGCTTTTAAAGATAGGATTCGATCTATGTGCTGTTCTGTCGCTCACAGGACATCAACACTTCTGTAAAGTTTCAGAAATGGGATGTTTCAACCTACGCAACTTAAATGGGGAGGAGTTCAGTGTTTAACATAAAGTATTTTACATAAAAGACATTTAGTAAAAACAGAACTAAAAGCAAGTCAAGAGATCACATGGCTTGGTAATGAAATAGTCCTCTGATTAAACACACCACATTGGCTTCCTCAGTGGCTGCTGATTGCTGCTAAACTTTTAACAGTAAAGGAAGTGACTGTGGATATAATTCAAGTTTAATGCTTTCTCTTCCTCTGAAGCTCTAGATTTCCTACGAATTCCAAAGCACAGCATCTCTTCAGCAAGGCTCACATATCTTTTGTTATAGATTTGGAAGGGAAAAAACCCAAGACACGTATAGAAAACAGAAAGTGAAGAGCATGAGGGCAGCCACCTTGTAGCTCCCTGTCAGCCTGGGGGAGTGGGGCAGGGACATATTTACATAACCTGTGAACAGCAGTGCAAAGGGTAGGAGGACCTTCCATTTCTTTCTCCCTCTGAACTGTTTTAAAGAGAAAACAAAAGACCACATGCATGCTCTCCTGGCTCTAAACCTCCTGTCCCCAAGCGATAAAATTCTGTCAAAAGGGAAGAACAACCTGATTTCACAGCATATCCGCACAACCCGACTGTGGGGCTGCTGTTAGTCAAACAGAACACCTTAACAAAAAAAAACCCCAATTTGAATATATAGTTACTCAGACTCTTTAATAATCGTTTTCAAGCATCCTTTTAAGCATAGGTATGTTTGTAAGGTGGCTTAGGGAACACTGTTGTCATCATTTTAATGCATAGTTTTAAAGAATGTCAGGTTTCAAACACTCGTTTGATGGGGAATTGATAAGCCATGAAAACTTCTATAGGGCAACCGTTGCTTACAACACAGAACAGTCTTCATTCTCTCCTGAGCTGGAAGGTTTTGTTGGTTTTGCTGCTGCAGAGTAATTTGATGCTCTGAAATCGCTCAAAGAGTCAACAGAATGGACCAAATTTATTCCTGGATCAAAACAGGAATTGTAACACAAGTTAATGGGAGTTCACATGATTATAAAAAGTAAAATTGATCTGTCTTGTAAGTGCCTTTATGTGACAGGACACATTTTAGTCAACCTCTTGAGTTTAATTTTTTAATGGCTGACTGTCCTAGTTTCGGCTGGGGTAGAGTTAATTTTCTTCCCAGTCGCTGGCACAGTGCTGAGTTTTGTAGATTGTTTGAGGTTTAGTATGAGAAGAATGTTGATAACGCATTGATGTTTTAGTTGTTGCTAAGCAGTGCTTAGACTAGTCAAGGACTTTTCAGCTCCCCATGCTCTGCCAGGCATAGAAGCTGGGAGGAGGCACAGCCAGGACAGCTGACCCCCACTGGCCAAAGGGCTATTCCATACCATATGACATCATGCTCAGTACATAAACTGGGGGAGTTGGCCAGGGGCCAGCGATCGCTGCTTGGGAACTGGCTGGGCATCAGTCAGTGGGTGGTGAGCAATTGCATTGTGCATCACTTGTTTTATATATTCTATTATTATTATTATTATTATTATTTTCCCTTCCTTTTCCATCCTATTAAGCTGTCGTTAACCCACAAATTTAACCTTTGTCCCCTGATTCTCTCCCCCATCCCACTGGGGTGGGGGGTGGGGGGTAGTGGTGGACTGAGTGAACGGCTGTGTGGTGGTTAGCTGCCTGCCGGGTTAAACCACACCACTGACAATAAATAAAAAAAATGTCAAAATAAGCACCCACTGGAACATTTGTAGAGAAGTCGGGCACTATGCAGATAGGACAGCAAGCTACAAAAATATGTATTTCTTACATATGCAAGTGGTACAGCCTTGAAAAGTAACCTGACATTCCTCAGTCATCAGAGGCTGGAAATGACAGGCACTGAAAGAACTCGATCTGTTTGTTTCACTTGTCCTTCGACAATTTCTGTTGTTTGAGGAGGTGCTAGTTTTTCTTTGCAATGTTCTCTGGTGCACAAGACAACAATCTTTTCCCACCTCCAGCATGCTCAGGCCATAACTTACCCCAAAATTAAAAAGTTTGTCCAAATCCAGCTTGCCTCAACACATAAACCAATGCAGTCTAGGAGCCTCCAGAGCACAATTAAGTTTTACTGCAAAGCAGAACCAGAGGGGCTTTTAGAAACCTCAGAGCACTTTACATAGAAATAATACCTACCACAGTATTTAATAGCATTTCTATTGTCTTCACCGAGAACAGCAGCTTCCCTGAAATCACAGCACAACTCAGTCCATGTCTAGACTACAAAGGTTCACCAGCATAACTATGTAAACACCACATATGAAAAATTCAAACTCTTGGCCAACTTCAAGATGTTTACAAAGCCCCACGACAAACGTGCCAAGAGAAAAGGAAGCTGCTGTCAGCGCCAGCCCCATTGTTCAGGCAGGATGGCTGGGGTACCCAGGAAAACAGAGGGCTCTTTCTCCCGGCTTATGCTGTATCAGCACCACGGCCTCTGCCAACACGGTGACACTGAGGCACAGCACCTAGCACTTTTATCCCAGCCCATTCTCTAGCAAGAAACTCGTATGTCCTAAGTCACTGGAGTACCCAGAGCTACAAAAATACTTCTGTTGCCCCCACCTCCTCTCAAGGAGACTTGAGAAATCAGAATTTTCTCAGCAGAAGACATGGGAGGGATTGTGCGCAAATGTGTATTTGCATTCACCCTGGAGGGCGTCTACAAAGAACACGCTCTGTGAAAAGGCAGCCATTTTTGCAATCAATTCCAAACAGACTTTAGGATGAGCTTGTTTACAATCCAGCAATAAATGCTAAAATCAATTTCAGGTTTCACAAAAGTTCTGTCTTCCACTGCAGAGAATTGGGGCCAGTGACAAATTGATTTGCATGAGATGTCGTTTTGACTTGGAAGAAGCCGTCTCTGATAGTGGTTGGATTATTTTTTGTTAACAGAGAGAGATCCCAAGTTGCTCTCTACATTCATTCTCTCTCAGTTCCCTTGAAAGTGCCTGTAAAATTCCTAATTACAATGAAGACTGGAGCCTAGAGCTCCAACTCTGTTACATATTTTTCTGAGTGCACAGGAGGAAGAGAAAGGGCAAAGCTTGTCAGCAGCATTTTAACTCGCCCCAGTTCATAGCACACTCAAAGGGGCTGTTTTGCTAGTGATGAGTTACTGGAACGCAGCATGCTCCTACCAACTTCTCCAGCCTGTGCTGAGAGGAGACCACTTAGAGCAAATGCACGCAATGATTTCCCAAGTTTGCTATTCAAGCTAGTTCTCTAAAACTCCTGTGTGTTATTTGAACAGCGTAAAGCAGCCTCAGTTGTGACGAACCCGCACCAGAGTTTCCTCCGCTAATCACTGCTGAGCTGTTGCAAGATAGAAGTTATTAGCCCTTGCACTTCTTCCATAATACAGCATTACAGCACCATGAACGAGGAAGGATAAACAGGTACAATAACAGTTTTCTATACTTTCAGTTTTCAGAGATGTAAACAACAAAGTGCTGGTGTTTTTACTCTCTGAAGTCTCTTGATGCAACCATGCTGGCATGCTCCCTTTGTAAATGACTACTTCAAAGGGATTGCATGTTTTGGTTTGGCTTTTTCCTCTTTTTATGTGACCAAAGGCAAGACCTTAGAAGGAAGTATTTTCATTTATTCCATGGTCAAGTATTTATGCTCCAATACTTTGCTGTACCCCAGGGTGGATATTTTTTGTAGACAGCACTTAAATACCTTAGACAGTACTTTCATCCTAGAGTCCAAGGAAGAGTGTTTTTGTTTTGCTACTTCAAAAACAGGTTTTGAAAGGAAAATATTGAAGTGTGATGGATCTAGTAAATAGCCCAAAAACTAGCTCCTCTTGAAGAAGGCCAAGTGCATCTCAAGAAATACACTGTTTGGCAAGAAAACCCCAAAACTTTCTTACAGTATCTTTCTGCGCCTTGTTGAAAACACCCTTGTTTTTCAGCATTGTTTGCATTTTGATTTGCACTGTCCTCTGTTTGTGCATTAACAGCAGAGCCAATAGCTCCACAGAAACAAAGCAATTATTATTTGCATCAAAGCTACATCCTGTCTCATACCCTGTCTTCATCAGTATCCAGTAACAGATGCCCTGGAAAGTAGCGCTATTTAGTTTTTAGAGAGGTCATCTACAAATAACTTAATGGTAAAATCCCCGTCTTGTTCTACTAGTAATCATCCACCTTTGCCTTGCAGCATGTAATCCATCTGAAACACATTATTGGAGAAATAAGCAACTGGGAAAACTTTCAACCTAACGTCTGAAAACCCATTTTGACCCAAACGCCATGCAACCCGGCTACTATGGCTGGAATGATGCACAATACCCACAACTCCGCATGGTGCTCTTAAACCCTACCAGCGCAAAACAGCTAACGCATGGGTGAAGCAAAAGCTCCAAGAGACCATGCTGCTTTCAGACACGTGCCAGAGGTGATCGTGGTTTAGAGTTCATAACATTTTCTCTCCAAGGTTGGTTTACTAGCAGACTGCAAGGTAGCTCAGAGCACTTAGCACGCTCTGTAGTGTATCTGACAGCATCAGATACAAGGTTTATTGATTAATAATTACTCTGCAGGAGAAATAACAGCTCAATTTAGAAGTGATGTCTCAGTTTATTTTTGTTCTGTTACACAAACTCCCCCATTAGGTTCGACTGAAAAGGCACCCCTCTGCTGCGGCGTCTTTGTTTACAGATCGGTTCGCCTGAAGAGCAGCAATTGCAGGTTACTCTTCCCAACAGATGTGAAGGAAAAACAACCCACTGAAGGACTTCAAAATCTCATGGCACCTGTAACAGGGTCCCCTAGCACTGACAGGCTAAAAGGGACTAAGACATGGCGCAGAAAGTCTACATCCTGCCATCTCCAGGCATCACATTTTTGTCATTATGTAAAACCAGAAACAGGCAGAAAACCATGAAGTGAAGACATTTATGTAAGAAAAACTTCCTGTTTATGTAGTTTATGGAGCATTATGACAAGCTTCA